TTTTTTTTAACCGCATCTACAAAATTCTCGAATTGTCTCAAAGACGACAGAACGTCTAGGATTCCAGACCTCGCGAATGCCAGCCAGTCTCGAAAACTATCGCGACTGGCAGGTCAGAAAGGAACCAGTGATCGGGGCTCGCCCGTAACAGTATCACGTGAATTTGGTTTCAAAAATACAACCCTATTATAGTAAATGTTTTATCAGTATTCTGAGAAATACCGTGAGAAAAAAAAAGTAGGCATAAGGCAAATAAAAATATATAGTCTTAAGAAATAATAACCGGCATAATTTCTACTAAATTTTTTTATTTTTGTCTGTATTATTTTGTAAATTCACTTTGTCTGAGCTCAAGGGGGGGGGTTAAACCCTTAAACCCCCCCCCCCCTTGTGTACGCCCCTGATTTATAATTGTATAATAATGAAATTTGAGCAAAAAATAACAATTGTAAAATGACTCATACGATTAGATACCGATATAAATTACTTTGTCTCAAAATGTAGCATAAAATTATGTTATAATAAAAAAATACAATTCTCTTAGTTTTAAATTTTCAATTTAGAAAACAATCAAAATCAAAAACTTAATAATATCGGTAGAGGTTAAACTTAAAACGAAACAGTATCTTTATGATTTTATTAATTTTACGCTGATGGAAACAAAACAATATGGAATTCAATGTAAGAAAATTGGATCCTGTCATGTGGTTTTCCCGTCAATAATGCGTCGGAAACAATAGAAAACTGTGTTTTTGTTATACAGAGAAATACAATTTGAATTGTAATGTTTTTACATCACTTAACCAGTTCAACTATAACAAGCTTGATAAGATTCTTTTCTGTTTCGTTCTCATGTAGAATTTTGAATAACCAATTTCATTATATTTTGGCCAAATTTTTTTAATTATATTTCGGCCAAAATGAAGACGGTAACTGTTATCTAGGAAATATGGCCTCCATAGTCTGGTTAGGATAGCGATTCAAAATTTGGACCCCATAATGCTAATTTTAGCATTGTTAAGTGTATCAGTTGTTCACCGAAACTTGTTATAAAGCTGCATAGTTAAAAAGCTGCATGTATAAAGGTTTCTAAAAGGGGAAATATGCATGGGAATGGTCAGAAATACAGTAATGATAGATAAATACACCATGTAGGTAATATTCATGTTTATTAATTTATTTTAAAAGGAAACATGCCATCAAAAGAGCAACAAAATATGCTAAAAAACTGTCATACTTAGATAAACCGAAATCTGTTCTAGTAAACTCATTAACCAACACATAAGTTGCTGAAAGCACACAAAATTCTATGAATTCTGATTTATAAATGATTTGAAATAAGCAGTTTTAATTGCCATTTGCATTATCATAAAAATAGGTTATTCAGAATTCTGCATGAGAACGAAACAGAAAAAAATCTTATCAAACTTGTTTTAGTTAAACTGGTTAAGTGACGTAAAAACATTATGTTTCAAATCGTATTTCTCTGTATAACACAAACACAGTTTTCTATTGTCTCTGATGTATTATTGGCCGGGAAATAACACGGCTGGATGCAATTTTTTCACATTTAATTCCATATTGCTTTGTTTAGATTAGCAAAAATTTAACAAAAATCATTAAGATACTGTTTAGTTTCAAGGTAAACCTCTACCCATATCATTATGTTTTGGATTTTGATTGTTTTCTAAATTAAGAATTTAAAACTAAGTGAATTGTCTTTTTTTATTATAACGTAATTTTATGCTGACGCCCGGTGGCTGAGTGGTAGCGCTTCGCGCTGCCGTGCCACAGGTCCTTGGTTCGATCCTTGGGCCGGGCAAGGCAGACTCAGCCTTTCATCCCTTCAGTGGGTCGATAAAATGAGTACCAAGCATGCTTGGGAACTAACACTGGGGGTTCCGCGTTCGGCTGACCACCTGACCGGAACATATGCTCCTGCACCCCAGAGCCCAAGGTCAAGAAAACTGAGATGGGCACAGTCGGCCTTGGCCCTCTTAATGGGCTGTCGCGCCACTGAGTTAGTTTTAGTTAGTTAGTAATTTTATGCTACATTTTGAGAAAAAGTTATTTAAATCGGTATCTAATGGTATGAGTCATTTTACAATTGTTATTTTTTGTGCAAAGTACATTATTATACAATTATAAATTACAGTTAAACAGATTCGTAAAATAAATTAGAGCTAAGCGATCAGCTTCATGCACTATATAATTCATACAAAAATTGTATTTAATATATCCGTCTGTTTGGTAACCGAAAATATCAAATCAAGATTGTGAACTCACCTAATTCGCTATAACAATATAATTTCAAATATTATTTTGAAATTTTTACACAGAAAAATTGCATATATTCAGTTATATATCTTAATATACTCATAAGGGTAATATTCGGACGTGGGAAGCGTAATCCAACGAAACTCTTTTTAAATGTATAAATTATTAACTGTTTTAACTGTTCTATTCCAAGAAACAATTATTGAGAAGTATTCATTGGGGTTTGGTGAGCGGTAGAGAACAGGAGACTTAGCCCTCCAGTCATTTAATGATTATGGCATTAAAGAGTAAGATGTGTATGTCTGGTAAAGTGTATGTATATGTTTCTAATTAAGAAAAACTTTTGCCAAACTCAAAATTTTGAATTCAGAAAAATCCACCAATTTCAAAAACGTGGATAATATAATTCAATAAAACTACCTATACAAGCTGCTTATATTATTATTATTGAAGTTATATGCAAAAGCATTGGTCATACATACATTGTACAAATGTATTTGTGCACAATATATTTTTGGATATTATGCTATGCATTTTTTTAATACAATATATTACACGTACCTATTTGTATACATTTATATTGTATGTATCTACATACTTTTGTACATCAATACCAAAGTTCAGATTGATGGGAACTTGCTTGTCTATGGAGTAAAGGGTACCTGTGAGTGAAAGTGGGTATATTGTTTATACATTCATTGTAGGAGCATACTTGTATGAACATAAATAGATCTGATGATTGGAATTCATACTGTAATCGTATGATTCGATTTTTTTAATCATGATTATTTGTAATAATTTCTTGATGTCATTAATAGTAATCAGGGCTTGAAATCTCTATTACAATCGATTGGTAACATAATAATAATTGTAATCAATTACAGTTGCGATAGGTTACTATATGCCCTACTCTGGCTAAATATTTTATCAAAAACTGTTGGTTAACAAAATTATGAGAAAAATAACACATTAAATAAAATAACTCAATAGTAATTCAAATTACCGATATCATGTTAGAAAAAAATAACCATTTGAAATCTCCTTATATTTCAAAGATTCAAATTTTGACAAATTTGTTTTTCAAATCGAGAAAGAATGAATAGAAAAATCTTACGGCTACAAAGTATTACCTAATAAAATTAACATACAAAGCTTAACTAATATTTATAGTTCGTTTTAATCCTAATTATTTTTTCATTTATTTATTTATTTTTATTTAGAATTTATCTCTAAATTGCAATGCCACAAATGCCAGAACTGACCGAACTGTGACAAACTAAGAAATAAATAATAATAAAATAAAACTAAGGAAAAAATAATAGATATATCTATGTACTATAAAACCAATTGGGCTATGTAAAATTTCATTGTACTCGTATGTCCCCCAACTTCCGCCGGGTAAATTACCCTTAACCATTCTTCACGATTTCGTTAAAATTTTCAGGAGGGAATTGTAACTTAAATACTTAAGCTTTTAAGACATTCTATCTGTGTGAATAGTTTATGAAATTCACTCTAGGCTTCATTACACCCCTATAGCCTCAGTTTGGCGACAAAGACGCCAAAGAGATGTTTTCTCTTATCCTCTCATCGAATCTTGTCAGAATGGGAAAGGACCTATAACGTAAAGGTGTCACAAAACTTCTTGTCTTTCGATCCAAATCAGGAAGATGAAACCGGTAAGTTATTTAATTTGTATACCATAAATTAGATTCAATGTTAGGAAATTAAATTGCTCTCCATTTTAAATATTTATTCCCCCCGAGCGATGTATCTTTAGAGCGCTATGACTACTTCTGATAAAAATGATACTATTAATAATATATTCCGTGAAAAGATCACTGATTTTCCGAGAATTATAATTTTTTTAACCAGTAATAATTATATTTATATAGAATTTATAATTCTTACTTTATTTAACATTCAGGTTATTTGCTTAAAATTACTTATGTAATTCATATTAAAAAAATAAGCAAAATTTAAACGAAATATTTTTCTAGGGCAATTAACGAAACATTGAATAAATTATAAAAAGAATAAGCATTTATTATTTATTTCATAAATTCTTTAACTATTTCTTGATGAACTTTTCAATTCAAAATAGAACAACCGAAATCAAGAATAAGATGAGAATAGTTATTCTCTCTCAACGTTTATAAGTTTAACAATTCCGTTTTTCTTTTTTTTTCTAATTTACTTATTTTCTGCCTATGTTTTGTTTCACCCCTATGTTCACACAATTTGAAATATTTCATTCCTCACATTAAATATTTTCAAGCTATTAGTCTTTCTTTTACTTTTATTTATTAGGTAAATTTTAGAAAACTTGCATTTTTTACGTCAAATGAATTTAGGTAGTAATGATTGATGAAATAAAATTTAAAAAAGAAACATTTTTAAGCTTTCAAATTAATTTAGTACTCATTTATAGTAAATGTAGAATGGAAATTAGTACATATTTTGAAATTAATGCCTTTATAATATCTTTTTAATGTGTCAAATACCACGAAATTGCTATCTCTCAGCTTTTTTTGTCTCTCACTTTGTTTCAAAAATAATTTTTATTTATCTAGATGCGAAAATTGATTTATGCGTAATATACAGCACAGCTAATATATATTTTTAAAATTGTTTTTGAGTAAAATTCAAGCAGTTTAATATTGTCCCGGGACTTTTCCTACTCTGTTACAACAATTGTAGAAAAGACAGCCATTTATAAAATTGTCATTACAATTGCAGCATTCCAAGAAAATAAAGGATAAGATGTTTTATTCCTTTTCCTTTTCAAAGCTTTGTGTTAAATTTCTACTTCAGGAACATTTCGTTCAACTTTAATTCATTGAAGTTTAATTTATTATTTCCTTAAATATTAAGTTAATTAGAAGAAATATAGGTATACAGAAACGTAGATTTCAAAACCTGAACGAATTTGCTATGCGGGAACATGTATAGTTTTGTGCTACCAGCAGACCCTTCCCCTTCATTACTTTTTTCCTCTTTGCCATTTATCAAGCTTCATTTCCCTAAGTAATAAACCGAAAAGCAATTATAGTGATTTATATTGTAAATTTAGTAAGAGCCGAAACAGCGTAACATTTTATAATAATAAAATAGTACATTTAAAAATAAAATAGTACATTTAAAAGAAATAAAAAATTTTCAAACAATTTCTTTTTTTTTTCTTTTATAAAAACAATAATGCAGAAAAAGTAATTAAGCAAGGTTTATAATATTTGAATGTTTAGTGTGATAATTCCGTATTTAATGTGACATTTGATTTTCATGACAGTTAAATCAGTTTATAACTTAACTTACACAGAATTTTTAAATTCTTTTTTAAAAATGATTTTCCCCCCTCTGCTACAATAATTATTGCAATAAATTATTTCTGTTGAGTTGTCAAAAATGGCTTTCGTGACTCTTTGGATAGTCTATTTTTAGATAAGGCAGCCATTTTAAAAATTGCTGTTACAATTGCTGTATTCCAGGAAAATAAAGGTTAATATGTTTGATTTACTTTCCTTTCTATTACAAGCACAATTGTTTTAAATGTACAGCTTTAATGATCATTAAATTTTTGTACGGTAAGATCAAGAATTAGGATTTTCAGTTTTATATAAAAAAAATTCTTCTTTTTAATGGAAATTGTCCAAGTAAATTAACTTGCAGTTTCTCTCATCCCCCTCTGTCTTTCTTCCATTTTGGTACCAATGCTCATATGGTAGTTAATTGTAAATGTAGAACGTTGTCTGTTAAAAATCAGTTTTGTTTTGTAATTGTATCACTAGTACTTTTTCTAATAAATTTTAATTGTAAATAAAGAAAGAAATTAATGAAGAAATACGTAATACTGAATGTAACTAAATACGTTTTACTGAATACGCAAAGATCCGATCAAAGGTATTACAAAAATTATTAAGAAATAAAGTATTCTGCATTTTGATAATTTGATGAATCACTATATGTTGCAGAAATATGGGTTTCTTTTTTGCGTTTCAGGAAAATCCTGTCCTTAAAAATATTGTGTACTGCTCCATTCTAAATGAACCAATCGCTACCACCTCACTATTTTCAACTTTCACACACATTTATTAAAAATAAAATGAAGTTTCATGTTATGGAAAGAAGAGTTATCAGGGTTTTTTCTGTATTTTAGAAAAAGGTCAGATATAGCGAAATCGAAAAGAAAATCTTCTCATATTTTTTTGCTAGAAAGGTCCTGATTTCATAAAAAAATCCACAATAGTGAAAAATCCACTCTTAATTTTGCGTGATTATGAAAATTTTGTTGAAGACACGAAAATCAAGTTTTTCAAGGAGTTAAAAAATATAAAATTATGAATTAAAGTCGGGCTTTCAAATAGTATTTTTTTGAAAAAAATATCTGTGACATGTCGTGATTCAATATTTTTTGAAGATGACTCCTAGTAGTAAAATTTTGCCAGCATTTTTTATCTAATTTTAAATTGGTATAATTTTTCGATAAAGAATAATTTCATATTTATCGTGTGTTTATTAAAAAATGCCACTATGAAAAATTTAATTTTTTAAGGCATATTTCAAAAAACTGAAGTAAATTCTACTCGTAAAAATTAATCGAATTTAGATAGGTTTTTCTTCAAAAGTTCTGTTAATTTTAAAAATTTCTGTATGTTTTAGTTTTAAAAATGTTGCTTATTTTAAAAGCTTGGTCTTCCCACCATGCCACAATTGAGTTTACTTTTTAAGTAGCAGTCGAATCAAAATCTGCCTATTCAGCTGGATATTAAATTACTTAGGGGTAATATTTTTTTATACATTATACTTATACACAAAAACTACATTACATGCACTTAAACATTATATTAAAACCTAGTACCATATTCCTAACTTATTTTTTCAAAATTATATCTGCTTGTGCCGACCAGGTGGCAGAGTGGCTAGCTTGCCTGACTGCGGAGCCGATGGATGCGGGTTCGAATCCCGCTCAAGGCATGAATGTTTCTTTCCCTCTGTGTTTTATGTCCCTTATTCTTCTGTGTGATTGCGTGATTGTAAACCGCCCTATAAAGCTTTGCCATAGGTGCTCACTGGGTAATGATAAGAGAGTAGCAATTCTGGGGCCATTGGGAAATAGACCCAAATGCCCGCCATTAACCGAAATATACGCACACACACACACACAGATATATATATATATATATATATATACATATATGAAANAATGTTTCATGGTAAACATATCAGAAATATTCTTTTCTCACATCTCCCTCGAACATAGCAATTTCTATTATTGAACGAGATTTAGAGAATTGTTGACTAGACGTGGGTCTTATTCCCGCTGTCAAAATTTCTGGACACAATCTCTTTATTTTATTTCACACACACACACACACACACACACACATATATATATATATATATATATATATCAGCATGTTAGTATCCCGTTAGAGCCCCTTTGCTGTTACAGCTCTCAGTTTCTCGGAATGAAAAATTACAAAATTTTATAAAATATAGAAATTAAAAAGAGAAAAAAGTTTGAAAAAGTTTATCTGGAGATAACCACTACACGCATTAAGAAAAAAGAGTATGGTCAAAACTTCCAGAATATGGTATAATTAAACTTATTTCCGGGTCTATGGGAACAGATGAAAGTTTTTTAATTTTTGCCAAAGCTCTTTGATGATTTTGGCAATATTAACGATAAAATATAGTTTTCAGAATAAGTGATAAAATTTGATAAATTTTATCATGATACCTTATAGTATAGCATAGAAAATATTTATTTGGTTAAATTTGCTCTTCTGTTTTGTATGTTTCTAATGAATATGTGCTAATAAGAGTTATAATCTTGAAAACCAGAATTTCCAGCAAACTGTTACCACATAAATTAAAAAATTACCAAATTAATAATAATGCCATTAATTTTGTTAACAAGAATTGTTTTTTTTTAATCATATATGTCATTTCCATAAATACGATAATTTTATCAGATTTCTTCTCCGTGTTCTAGGGGCGACATAATAATAAGAAACAATGTGTATTTTTACACGAAAAGTTTCATTTTCTTATATGAAAGTGTTCCTTATTACTGTTTCCTGATAAGTACAGCAGAAGTTTTCGGAATTGGTACTAGATATACTGTAGCTTAATAATAAACACATCTTTTACCCTAGATGGAGATTTTGAAATGTTTCACAGAATGTTTTAAGAGAGTTATTCTTCAATCAGAAAGTATAGCTTATCATACAATAATGATATTTTCTCAGGTTATTACTTTAAACATTTTCCAAATTTTAACAAAATGTATTATTTTTTTCAAATATAAGCGTAGTAGACATAAAAATACAAAATAAAAATAGCAACCATAAAAATATGTTAGCAGTTTATAATTTACAGGAAGCAAATTAGTATGTCAGATTATTAGCAACGGCTTTAAGAGTTATATTGCCCATAGTCAAGAATGCAATAAAATAGCATTCAATGGACTTGTTCCAGCAACAGGCCCTTTAATTTAAGTTTAAGGATATACCTATTTATTATCTTTAAAATTGTCTTAATTTGCTTAACTATTTTCCTATTAAATAGCTTTCCTGTGAATCCTAATTATAATTGTTTAATGTATAAAATCTAAATGGTATAAGACCTTGTTCCAGAGGTGATCTAAATATTCCTTAAATTATTATGTGAAGCATGTACCCATTTAATGTTTCAAATAGCACCATCTTATGCAATTCGCTTCTGATATTCAACTGTAGATATTTCAAATGCAATTTCTAAAATCCTCTTTAAGAATGCTCGTTAATGTTGACTTTCCTTATGCCTTTGGTAAGCCCTGTTACTGCAAGTTATGTTTCGAAAAATAAAGAAGGTTGGATTGAAGATTACGGTGAATGATTCTTGTTCGAAACAAAATATCAGCTAAAATACAAGGTTTAAAGACATCAAAAATATTAAGGACGTCAGACTTGAGAAGCATTTCAAAAGAGGACTTTAAAAAATGTTTCTGAAACTTTTACAGCTGAGTTCAGAAGTGCATTGCGCCAGACGGAAGTTATTTTGAAACTTAGTGAATAAAACTGCAATTCACATAATATTTTTAGGAAATATTAAATCATTCCTGGAGATTAATTAACAGTTGGTTTACCCAAATTATGAGTTATCATTTAGGTGTCAAGATCTTTCAGCTGATATTCAAGACCATCAGAAGGAAACCATCATCAAGGCATCAGAATGAAACCATCTACCAGTTTCATAATAATATTGGGAATCGCTGTAATAATCGAATAGATGGAAAAATCTTCACCACCCGAAATTGTTTTACAGAAGAGCAATTCAGAGTGAAGATGAAGTTGAAAATTTTAAAAATTGTCTTTCTTTCTTCAAGAAGGAGGTAAAAAAAACTTTTTTCTGAACAAATACAAATATAAAATCGGGGTCCAATAAAAGTAATTTGTATTAATTGTTTTTTTTAATTGAAAAGCAGGCAATTAAAAATTCTAGATATAAATAACCAGTTTATAACCTCCAGATTGTTTTGATGTTACTAAAATATTAAAGTAGATGACATGAGCTGATAAATTTGGGTTGAGCAAAACTTTGTATAGAACTTTTGCATATAGAAGTTTTTTTTTACATTACTATGCTCATTATTATATTTTTGGTTCTTGACGGAAGGAAAGGAATAATATCGCATAATTTATCTACTTATTTTTATTGTTTTAAAATAAAACTGCTCAGTTCTATTTTCTCAGTTCTATTTTTATATTGGATTTCAAGCTAAACATGTATATACAAGATATTAAACTAAATTGAAAATTTTAGCGCATTCCCTGAGTTTAAATTTATGTTGTTACTTTGCTTAATCTTATTCCAGATTTTTCTCAAAAAAAATGGATTTCTCATTAAATCTTCATGTCTCATTAGTACTGATAACTACTCATTAAAATAGCATTTATAACGAATTGAATGAACAGTACCTTGCTGTTGCAGAATTTGGAAGGAAAAAAATACAGAATTACTTCTCACAACTTTTTTATAAAGTGTTAGAATTTGATATATTGAGGTCATATTAATATTTTTGTATAATTTATATAATTTGAGCCATGAATTAGCCAAATTATTTATTATAATAAAATTTGGTGGTAGTTTTAGCTTGCTTCTGTGTGAAGTGTAAATAAGAGTACATAAACTAATCTTGCAGGTTTTAAACATTTTATTAATTCCTTCCAAATACTAGCTAGCATCGACTCTATTGCTAATGAACATTGGAAATGCAAATATTTATATATGATTTGCATCAATTGTCAAAAGGTTACAAAGAATATAGGTATGGATAATTTAGTTCTGTACTAATTGTAAAATTATGTAAAAGCTTATTAAAATAACATTTAAAATATTCTGAATAAAATCGTTACAAGAAAAAAAATACAATTGCGTATTATTCAGTATTCAATTTGATTTAAACATTGTAGTTTAACATTGCTCTTGTGTTTTATAGCAATATAGAGATACACCATGTATGTTCCAAAATATTTATAAGAAAATATATCTAATAAATGCCATATTTGACGCTGTAATTGAGAATTTGAAATTTTCCGATATCAAAACCTGTTTTTTTATAACTCAATGTAAATGAAAATTGAATCCTTTTCTGGTTTAATTTTTTGTTATATAAATATTTTCATAATGAAACCCACTATAAGTAATACCAAATTTAAACCAATTAATAAAATTGCTGAAAATTACTTGGCATTTCTTTCAGAAATGGAAGAAACTAAAAATAAGTCGCACAATTGTTTCGTAATAAACCAACCACGCTTAACAATTTATTAAATTGTTCACAATTATTCTGTAATTTGTAAATTAATATTCAGTAATTAGTGAAAAAAAATGCAGAAGTTAGTGAATTCTTAGGTCTACTTCATAAAGTTAATTGACTAATAGTATGTAAAAATAAAATCTTTATGAAACATATTTATTGTGAAATCTTTTCATATTACATGAAAGTTATTTAGAACATTCATACTTAAAATTACTTAGTAGTGAATTGAAAATTAACATGCATTGTGAATACAATATGACCTTTGTAGTTGAGACTATGATTAATATGTAATTTGTCCATTTAATTGTATCTGTAAAATATGATAGTAATGTTTTTGCAATTCTTTGCAGAAATATAAAAAAATGAGTTCTACTATGCTATTTTACACAAAACAGTGAACTAAGCTGTATATTTCTAGTTTCCTAAGAAACTCTACAATTTTTTTCAAGTCGTTGCTCTCTCATTTACTCTTATATAAAAATAAGGTATTAAATACTATCTTGGAAATTTAATCACTTAATTAAACTAAACAGCATTTAAGAAATCTTTAAAACATTTTTAGTATTACTATGAAATAATATACAGATATTAAAGAAAAATATTTAAGTATTTAATAAATCTTTCACAATAAACAGCTCTGCATCTTTCAAAATAAAAAAATCATTACGATCCTAAAAAATTTAACCGATTCTAGAAAATTCAGCGACCTATGTTTTCTGATTCTATTTCTAGAAACCTGATAATTTTTAATCTCGATTAAATTTTTAGCAGTTTTTCAGACAGAATTTTTTTTTAACACAAATAAAATAGCTTCTCAATCCACATCAACCATTCTCCTCCAAGACCAACGAAACAGGTTGTACTCTGCTGTAAGATAAGGTGTGACGCGTTAATAGGTAGGATTACCATATTTGCGGTTCTCGAAGCGTCCAAGCGGTGCCTAAAGCGTGAGTGTTTAGGCACCGCTACCGGGCATTAGAAGAACCTTCCAAATCAAGAGTCCCCAAACATTTTGAACACAAAGAGCACATTCAAGCCCTCCTAGCGTTTGGCCCCGGTGTAAAGTTGTACTGAAATTTCCCTGCTATGAACTATTTTTTTCATTTTAAAACATCGGGACATTAGATTTTCGATGCTGCAAGGTCTGCGTCAGGAAGTTCATAAAAAAGCGAAACTAACGCAAAGAGGGCTGGTATACCGATAGGATGCTGTGCACTTTCCAAAGGAGAATTAAGAAACAGTAATTAACTCATTTCTGTATCATTTTATTAGGAAACAGGAATATTTATACGTAGAAGCTCATCAGCGGGGGTGCTCTTAAAATGAAAGAGGGGAACCTTTGTGGTGGCCTCAAACATAGAATTGATGATTCCAGCTCAACTATCGGAGGGCGCCATATTTTCCGTTTGGATCAAATTTTATACTATTTTTTTAAAACATACAGATTTTGTTCTAAAACAGATCTTAGTTCAAAAAAAGAATAAATAATAATAATTTTAAAATTATTTTTTTAATTTCTTTAAAATATCATTTTAAAAATAATATTTTTGAATGAAAATAATTAATTTCTTAAAAGAGGATTTTTGAAAAGTCATTAGAATATAACTTGGTTAAAGTTTATTTCATTGAGAATAAAAACGCTATTAAATACTTATTTTGTTTGTTAAGTTTATTTATTTGATGGAAATGCAACAATGTAAGTTCTACGTTTGTAAATTTAATATGCTAATTATAGTTTAAATTTTTCATTTTTTTTAAATAATTTTTTTCCGTAAGCTTTCATGCGCTACTATTAAAACCCCACCATCCCCTCTCTGTGGTACGTCTGCTCTATGAGTGGGCCATCCATTTCCTACCATCAAATATAAATGTTCCTCTTGGGGCACTTTACAGCATATTTGAATAGAAATGTAAGTTTTTAATTAAATGCAATTTATTATTCGGCTATTCTTTTAATACAATCCTGGAGAACATTTTTACCATAAATAAAGCATTTATTTTTTGAAAATAGTTATTTTATACTGTTTTATGACCACGTGATACCAAAGATACCGTGATACCAACCGGACTGAAATTTTTTAAGCATAATTCTTTTGGATTCTGAAATCATACATAAAATTTGCTTCGTCTTTTCCGACTAAATTAAGATAAAAATTATCAATAACTACAAATTTTTACTTTGAATACGTCTTCTGGATTTTTCTCCTTAATCGGATGGAAATACATGTGTATTTATATGCGTTCAAAATTTACTGTCAGAAAAATTATCAAAACTCGCTTAAAGGTCAACTTTATATTCGTTTCAAGGTCAACTAATAAATCACTGACTTCGTATTAAAGTTACTGTCGATGTTTTCAAATTGACCAAAAAAGGAAACGAGAATTGATTCAGGGTTTTTCATATTTTCTACTAACTCCGAAACGTAATTTAAAAATCTTTCCTTTCGATTAAATAGCATTGGTACTCACTCATCGATGCTCTAGATTGGATCAACTCCTAATTATACGATATCGAGATCCGTGTGTAACTTCTACTATTCTTTCAAAAGTATTTTTGAAAGTATTCTTTAAAAGTATCTTTATTATTTTATCCTTACAACAGATATGAAATAGACATAATGTTTTATATATCTTTTTCAAGTGTTTTATATACAAAATGTTTTATTTCATAACCAAAAAACTAACAGTATAATTCAAATTCAGCTTGACATGCGAGTGACTCTTTTGGACAATCCTTTTAAAAAGTAATTTTGAGGTTATTATAATGCTAATTTTCCAACAAGCCAGCTTTTTAAGGAAATATTAGTAAAAAACATGCTGCATATAAACCTTTAATATAGACCGAAATTTCTTGCAAATAATATTTGAGAAAATTATGATTGTGTTCGTCTTTATGTTTAAATTTTATTTTAGAAATCTCTGCATGTGTTTCTTCAAGAACTGCAGCCTTAGATATTGGATTGTTTAATGGAAACTGAACTCAAATGTTGAAAATTACAAATACAAACACTAAAAAGAATGTATACACTTTTAATTTGTTTATGTAATACTACTTTAATATATCTCAAAATGCTTTATCACTAAATCAATTAATTACGTAAGTCTTTTAAGTTTAGTTCAGTATTTGTTTTACATGTTGTGTACAAATTGCTTCATTATATGGATAATCAAATTATTTAATTCGAATAAGTTATTTTCAAGCTCCGATTTTCATCAATATTTTTTTTAATAAGTAATAGTGATCGTTATGAACTATTCTAATATTTGAAGCATAATGAAATGTGATGGATTTTAAATATCTTGTATGATATGCTATGTAATATAATAATATATTATACTGTATGTGATGAAAGTCTTTCATATGCAATATAATATACTATTATACAATAGGATTTTATACTGTACTAACGGGTGTTTTCCCTTTCTCATTCATGATTGTTTTACAATGATAATTTTTCGTAAGTTTGTAAATTTTAACTTTTATGTGAATGTGTGTAAATCAGAGGTTAAATTCCTACAATACAAAGCTAACACTCTCTCGTTTGTGTATTTTTTTTTAATTCTAATGATTCATTTTATTAATTTACTCCTTAAAGTCAGTCTAAAAGCCAGTCTGATAAATTTTTAAAATGTTACATAGGCATGTTTTTCGTTACTTTGGAGCCCTAGTGTTGGCAAATTGGTGTAACCATAATTAAACAGCTCTTAACTCTCGCTTATTGTACAGGATCCCAGGTTCGATGCCTACCTGCTCTGGCTTACGCTGACCACAGCTTTAAGTGTTAGATGGATCCCGGGTTAAGGTCCTATTGCAGTCAGGCTTACCGTGAGAGGTTTTCGTGGTTTTCCTCTCATGTTACACAAATGTGGGTAAGTCTCCCCTTAAAAGACCTCCACGAAGGCATACTTGTCCTTATTCTTGACTCAGAAGTATCCTTGTCTTTTGAGTTTTATTTTTCAAAACTGCAAAACTGCGATGACGAAAATATATTCCACACGCTTATGTAGATAATTTTCTTGTTACCTTTCAAAAAATAAAATTACAGCTTCTTCTAGTTTAAATTTTAATATTCTATTATTTATCTTATTTTAATGTATATTACTGATAGTTCAAGGTGATATTGTGGAAGATTATCTTATATTATTAATTCATAAGTATATTCAATAGTATTATATCAGTTTTGATCAAAATAAGAATTTACGGTGTTTATTTAATAAATTTTTATTCATTAAAATATGTAATCAATCGCAAATAATTACTCTTTCTAAAGTATTATTTATAATTTGTTTTAATGATGGAATAATAAAGATTGGTTTTTCCTTTTCAAATATTCTAAAGTATTTTTTTTTAATTTAAAATCATCTTAGTGACAAAACTATATCCATTTGCAAAACAAAAAACTACATTTCTATATATTTATATAATTTGTTTTGAGTTAGACACAAAATTTTTTAATTTCACGGTCTACAAAGAAATATACATTACTTAATTCATTGATTTCCCCATTGTTACTTAAATCATTGATTTCCCCATTGATCATTGATTTTTAATCATTGAATGTAGTTGTTTATTTCAATATTACACTAAAAGCCATAAATATAGATTCAAAACTAAATACAAAATTTTTCCTTAACAATTGTTTTTGACTTAATACACATCTAGAGATTTTAAAAAAATATATTATACAGCAGGTATTTTTTAAAATACAATTGATGCAATTATCAGTTCGTAATCATAACGCACACCTCATTATTCTTGTCATTCATTTTTTTCCGTTCCTTGATTTACACACATATATTTCTTTGTTGTTTCATTCTTTGTTTTCGCATTAAATTGGTTAAAAGTTTCGTTTTAACCATTCCTTTATTGTTTCCACATGCAATACAGAGTTTCTTGTATTCTTTTTCGAATTTCTTGAAATATTTGAGATTTTCCTTAGGTTTAAAAGCCTATATTACATATTATATAGAGCTTTATTTTACAATCTGTTAAATATTTTTTATTTGTCATGGCTATAAACTGTTAATTATTATTATCTTATCATGATTTATATTTAACTAAGGGTGTTCTTCAGTGACTGTCTTTAATGTTTAGAATTTTTGTATAAAAGGTATGCACATTTAAAATCGTTAACATTTAATTGTGGAAAAATGGAATTGGTTTTGAGATTTTCTTCAACTCCCTGCTGTCTCTAATAATTAATCATATTACGTCGTTAGCGTTTTTGTTTTTCTCTCGCTTCAATATCAATTCACGACACTAAGGTGTACTTCCTCTTTATTTTAGTTTTTATGATTATTTTTTTCATAATTAAAAAAATAATGAGTAAATAAATGCAAATATTTTTTTTATACAGGACCACTCTTAATGTTTATCACAAAAGTAAGGTAAATATTTTTTGTTATTAATATAGAAGCCAGGGGAAGACAAATATGTCCTCTTAGTCAAATTAATCACTATTGAGCGAAGGAGGATGCAAAAATATCAAGATAGCTGTCAAGGAAAGGGAGTGAAGTGAAAAAGCAATAATACCTCTTCATTTCCATGCAAGTCTTCTTCCTCTAGCGATTCAACAGTCTTCGATTGCTATTTTTTTTTTTTAATATTAACTAACTATAATCATTTAGTATACTTAATTTTCTGGAGAATTCTAAATGTATATTTCGAGGGAGATCACTAGAGAATACCCTGCATTGTAAATAATAATTGTTGTTAAATAATGTTTTGTAATAGAATTCATGTGTTTCGTAATGAAAAATTAGTTTTTAAATATTTAACCTCATATTTATTTATTTTGACTTCAAATAATATTTTCTTTTTTATTTACACACTATTAAAAATATATCATTTTTCTTTCAAATAAATTTTTCTACAAGATTGTTTTAAACCTATTATTTTTTAATGCCATCGATGTTTAATTTACTTCGTTAATAATTTTCTATTATAATAGTTACTACTAATTACGTGTTCACTTTAAAGTTGGTAATTTAAATTGAGGCAAGTTATCAGTAGCAAGTCAAACTTTAGACAAAATTTTAAAAACTTACTTTTTGTTCACTTGTTTTTAACAGGGGATTGTTTTTTAAGTAACAGATAAAAAAAATTATCTTTTACATTCCCGTAAAAATATCTTAATTTAAATTAATATATTTTTTATTTATATTTTATAATATTTAAATTATATATTATTAAAATTAAAACTATTGTTTTAATTTAAATAAAAGCTGTAATTAAAATGTTGTAATATTATTTAAAAGATTCTATAGCTTTTACTTCACAAACCGGAAAGCTACATTTGTACTTAAAACTATCTCAAGTTCTTCAAAGTTTGACTATGATTATACTACTAGCTGTTTCTCCTTAATAATCATAAAATTCAAATAGTTGGCTTCATGGACAGAAGTCGGCAATTGTACACAAATATTTTCTTGGTTTCTTCTTCTTCACTATATTCTAATCCAAAGAGATTTTATAAAAAGCAATTGTGGTGCCTAAGTAAAAAAAGAAGTTTCATCAAATGGCACCAAATGCGGCAGTTTACAACCATCGAAAAATGCATTATGATTCAAAGCAGCCATCAAAACAATATTATGCGCCAAAACCATCGAATACTATATGACACATATTGTTTTCTCGCATAAATATTAATTAGCTCTCCAATTTGTTAATAATTTTTTTTGATTTTATTTTAGACCAGAATTATAATGACTTATTTAAAGGGTAGTCATTATGGAAATTTCAGTATACTTTACCTTTTTTAGTTCTCTAACCAAATTCATTTCTTGAATCTTTCTTAAAAGTTGTTACTTTACATCACTTTTGAAAAAAAAAATTCAATTACTGCGAAATTTTAGCAATATATCCTCCACGGTCTTTTTTTATTTCGATGCAAAGTTGAATTGTATTTAGAATGATAGTCTTTTATTCGTAAAATTCCAAACACACATTCCTAATTTTTTAAAAACCCTGTTCGAATTGTAAATATTTTTGTAAAATTTCTAAAAATTTTTTTTCCTTTATTTGTCATGATTTTATTTATATTTCAAGTAGGTGGTAGTTTTAAAAGATGATCCAATCTCATCTTAATAAACTTTTGAGTCAGCAACTGTACATAAATATTTTTAATTGAATGTTATTCTAGTTGATAGTTATTCGAGTAGTTGACAATTTATTCTTCCATCTATATATAAATTTCTTTGTATATATATGTATATATAATGTTAGGAGAAAAATATATTAAAATCTCATGAAAGTCTTATTATATCGTTATCTATGCAATAAAAAGAAGCGGGTTAAACTATGCAAAAATGTGAGGTTGGATTATTTCAAATACTACATTGAAAATTCCGTTTCTGGACTAGAATTTGTCTTTACTTCTCATTTTTTTTTATTTATATGTAATATTTTGTTTGCATTACTTGTGTTTGATGAGAATAACTTTTTAGCTCATTTTATATCTTTTAATATTTTAATAAGCCTATGTTTGGTGCCTTATCTAGTAAAAGTTTGCTCTTTGGGGTGACGTAGAGCGAGCTACTGAAGGGACACCCTAACTCTGATGGAGATTCACTTTGAAATATGACTAGAGCATCGGTTTTCGCTTTTCTCGTTTTTGTTAGTTTTTTATTTATTTATTTTCGAACCTCATTTACTTTATTAATTTACTTTCGGACCATGTCAGAAATTTGTACATAGTATTTTAAGTGCATTCAGTAAACTTTTTTCGTGCGATAATTCCCCTTCTTCTATGCTTATTTCAAATAAGAATCAGTTGTATATATTTTTCCCCCCCCCGGAACATTCTCCGATATGTTACTGTATAAAGAGTTAGTTATTTGGTAAAGAACAAAGCATTACTGATATTATATTAACGTATTTAATAATTTCGATATATATTTAACATTATGTTAAGAATGTCTTGAAATATATGATGCTCAATATCAAGATTCTATGCAAATAAAACTAGCCAAAGAGCTTCAATTTGGCGAACCTATGCAAACCTATGAGGTTGGATCACTTCAAATACTGCTTTAAAAATCCAGTGCTTGTACTAGAAATTGATTTTTTTTAAAAATTTGCTTTACTTGTATTCTTTGTGAAGACGATTTTGATCAGTTTATATGTTTTAATATTTTGGCTAGCTTTCAGTTCTTTCTTTCTAATTTGGCGTCAAATTTCCTTTTATCTTCGCATTCCTAAGTGTCAGCAATGTGTAAATAAAACTATTTCAAGTGTTTCTGTAAAACTATTTAATGCTTCCACTTCTGTGACTCAACGTAAGTTCTCTCAATCAATTGTACATATTTCCCGATATTTCCCCAAAACATTCTCTGAGTATTTACTGCACATAAAATTAGCTTTTTTATCCGAAGTAAATCTATGTTACGCAACTCCCGTGT